GGTCGGTAGTTCATGGGGGGGGGGCTACCAAATAAATAAATAAATATATATATATATATTATATGTGCATATACATATATATATATATATATATTAAATGTGTGTATATATGTGTATATATAAATAAATAAGTAAATAAATAGATAAATAAATATATATATATATATATTATGAGTATATATATATATATTATTTATTCATTTGTTTACATAAATATAGTATACAGAGGCTTGAACACTTCGCAATCGTATTCCCAAGAAGCGCGCTAGAGCCAGACGGCGACAAGAAACCCCTGAATCCGTAGGTCGCTGCACGGCCGCAAAGCCTCAAACCCCCCAGGCCTGGGCCGAATTTCCTGAACTTTTCCCTGTACCGCTGACCTCCTTCCTTTTTGGTTGCAGTATAGGCAGTATAGGGCTTCTGGCAATCATTCGGGATGTTAACGGCTTACTCCTAAACCCTAACTGCCCTAGTTTATGGGAGAGTGGGGTTCCAGTGCTTCAGTTTGATGGGGTTAAATAAAGGTTTAGTTTTCAGGCGTCATGTTTGGGTCTTAAACCCTGGACCCATCGTTTTTGAGGTCTACACCAATGCGACGTGGGCAACGACCCCTGCCGAGGCCTGTCATTGCCACTCTTTGCACAAGATGCTCAACCCTAAACCCCTAAACCCTAAACCCCTAAACGACAAACCCGTAAACCCTAAACCCTGAACCCCTAAACCCTGACCCGAAACCCTAAACACTCTCGATCATATGTATTTAGACCATAACTCTTTCGTTGAATCTATTTTCTTGTGTTTTCTAGCCCAAACTCTTAAGGGATATAGTCTCACAAAGCCCCTATATCGCCCCAAGGGTCCCTTTAAGGGTCCCTCCTTTAGTGGTTTAGGGTTTAGGGGTTAGGGTTTAGGGTTTAGGGTTTAGTCCCTTGAAACTCGACGAAAAAAAAACCCTACTCAACGGATCCGCCGGCCCTGGCCCTAAGCCCATTCGTTGAAGAATGTACGGGGCCTTAAAGGGTTCCTTAAAAAGGGATACTACAAGGGTTACTACAGTAAACCCCAAAAAGTTGGAAACCGGATTAAGGACAAATAGTGCTGGGGTTCCCTATACATTACTCTTAGGGATTGAGGCCATTGGGTTTCCAACTTTTGGGCTTCTACTATATAAGGGCTCTATATCATATGGCCCTTAATAATTAGAATAGGGTTTGGGGGTATATAGTTCTGTAATTGTCACAAGGAGCCCCTAAAACCCTATTCTAATTATTACGGCCCCTACAATATGTTTTTTTAGCTGGGCCAGGACGGCCCATTCGTTGAATGGGGTGTTTTCCTCGTTGAGGTAGGACCAGGGATTCGGGGTAGGGTTTAGGGTTTAGGGTTTAGGGTTTAGGGTTTAGGGTTTAGGGTTTAGGGTTTAGGATTTCAGCCTTAAGGTTTGATAAAAGTATGATGATTTCCTAATGATATAGGAATCTTGGGTGGGTGGGTGAGCTCGACCAGAAACTGCTCGATCCGGAGCTGCTGAACCCCTAAACCCTAACAGCCTAACCTCTAAACCCTAAACCCCGAAACCGTTAAACCCCTAAACCCCTAAACCCTAAACCCCTAAACCCCTAAACCCTAAACCCCTGAACCCTACACCCCTAGACCTTAAACCCTCCCTCCCGACCGGAAGGTGCCCCGACCTGACCACCAGAACCCA